ATGTGTACAGAAAAATCTGTTTGAGAAGGATTTAGGAAGGGGATCTGAAGTTTAAGGGAGATTATATTTCCATTTGCTGTAGGTAAATTATATCTTTTATCTGCAGGGGAGGGGATCAAATACCCTGTCAGAAAGAAGTGCATATAAATGACAACTGGTCACTGTGATGCTGATAAATAATCAGTCATATTAGTTTAGGAGAGGTGTAAAGGTTAAAATTTTAATAATTTTTACTTCAGGACATTTACTGCAGGCGTCCTCCTAAATGAGCAGTTCCTTTTGCTCTGAAGTGGGTTATCCTCAAAAGATAGGTGGGATTAGTGGTGATGGAAGTGTACCCAGGCTCTCCAGAATAGGAGCCCAGTGTAGATAATCTGCTGCCATAAACACTTCCAGCATATTGCTGACAGCTCCGCAGACTCATGATTTGCAGAGGGACTGGTTGTTATTAAAAAAAAAAAAAAAAAGGCAAGTTGAAACTCTGAGGACTAAAAAGGAAAACTATAGATATATCTTAATCCTTTGAAAAAAGCTGTGGTGCTTTGTTTTTTTAATGCCAATGTTCAGTTTACTGAGCTCCAGCTCACCTGAAAGGAAGTCTTGTGCTAGAAGTGAGAGACTGTTGGGTTTTCGGCGGGCGAGGCGGCACCCTTGAGGAGTCCAGACGGACCTGCGTTCGGGGGCAGCTCTCAATGGTTGCAGTTGGAGCTCTGTTGAACAGAGGAGGGTAGCAGCCAATTAATACTAATATTTTTGTGTATTTCTGATTCCCCGGGAGCAAGCAGATTGCGTGCCCCTCAAAAATAAACCAGGGAACAGCGGCAGCCCTGTTTCTGTGCAGTCTGACTCCTTTCCTAACCCCGAGCTTTGTCTTGTGGAGCCTCCCGGCCCCGCTCACCTCTGCAGTCTCTATTCACCTAATTGACGTTGGGAGCCTTCCCGCCAAAGGGAGGGTTTCTTAGGAAAGTGGGTTTTGTAAGATGGGGTTGGCAAGTGCCACTCCGCAGGCATTGTGCTCTGCTTCGTGTTCGGTACGTTTTCTGCCTGGAGCTTGTTTCCTCCCACTGTTTCAGCAGCACAGAAGCCTTTTAATGGCAGCTCCCGGTGCCGTGGCACGGGCTGGCGGCACTGTGGTACGGCGGAGGCCTTCGGCTGACTAGTCTCTGCCACCGTTTCCCCTCCATGCCCTGTGTGTTGCTTAAGAGCCAGCTGCTTTGGTGTTGTCTCCTGAGCGCATAGTGGGAAGGGCTCCATGGGAGAAAAACCCAATAGCTGCAAGATTCCTGCACCGTGTGTCATCTCCACAGAGTGCTTGCAATTGAGCAAACATAATGTGTCTGGCAGATTACCGAGTGTGCTGTGCATGCGAGGGAACAGGCCCCTCTTTGACCTATGACTCTTATCTGTGTGCGGTGTTAAGTGTATTTAGTTAGGGATCAGTCGTGGATTCGTCACAATTCCCCATCACGGAGCAATCTCCCTTTCGCTTGCGGTGTCGTCCGAAGAGACATGCCTGTGCTGCTCCTCTGCCCACCACAGTTGTGCCCTTTAGCAGGTAGAGCGGCAATCCGAGGGCCCACCGCTCTATACCCCATCCCCGCCAGCCTGCACGGGCACGGCAG